TATTATCCTTAAATTATGGTGCAGACTGAGCAGGGTCAAGTGTTATATTTAGAGTTATCTCTCTATTGTGTTTGACTGGTTTAGGGAACTGTTGTCTTCAATCATATGAAATCATGTCATAAGACATTTAAAAGAAAACTAGTAAATTTTAAATTGATGCACTTCATTGCCACACTTCAATATAGAATTTGACCAAACACAAGATTTGATGTCTTCTTTGCCTGAGAAAGCAAAGAATAGTTGGAGATGGATGATAGTAGATTTTGGGTGAAAAACAGCAAGTAATTTTGGCAGACCTTTCAGCAAATAGGGTAATTATTGTGGCAGGGGTAATTGGCCACATATTTTATCTCCTAAGACATTAAATAAGTTACGATGTCTTCTGTGCATTCAGCTGGATGATGGAATTTGTGAAAAAGTAGAGAAATAAGGAAAGTTATTCTAAGGACCTGAAAAAAGGTACAGACATTAAGAAAAAATTTTTAAAATAAATTGATGCAGATTTGATATATTTTTCTTTTGATTTTTTTTTACCACTGTATAATTTAGTACTGGGGTATAGACTATTCCTTTATATTTTGCTGGGTAAAATTTTGTGAGAGAGCCACATTTTGGTAAATACATTTAATTGTTGGTTGAAACATTGAAAGCCATAGGGTTGAGTTGAGAATGGGACTTTTGTACCAACCTTCTGCATTGACCTTGCTGTACAGGCTATAGGTTTTTAATGCAATCTTTTAGAACCATGAATGTAGAAGAGTGAACCAATTAAAATAGCTTGTAAAACATCTTTAAATTTGATTACAAAACCTCTTGTTGGTGCAGATAGACTGGAACTGCGGGATTAAATACAATGAAATCTATTATAATTGAATACACTGACTTGGCTTCGAGTACAAGGAAAAGGTTGCAGTAAATGTAATTTCTGACGGTTGAGTGACTAGGAACGAATTAGTCAGAAATTACTATTCTGATGGCACGATTGAGAGGTTTTAGTATTCTCAGGGGAGAGTTTTGAGTATTTAATGTTTTAGCGGGGAATATTAATCATTTTAGCTCAGTCAGTCTTTCTGTTTGCTGTTGTCAATTTAGTTAAATTTTTTCTATGGAGTTATGGGTTTGTTTGTACCTCTTCCCCAAGGTTCCGTGCCTCTGCATTAGATGGGGAATACGTTTCCACATATTTTTTGGCCACATCTAAAGAGTGGTTTTTTAGTGGTTTTTCGTATCTGGCGTGGTACACTTAATTTTCAAGCTTTTCAAGTTAGACTTGCTAGCATATTCTATGTTGTAATAAGTATATGTTACGACACGTTGTTGTCGGATGACTGACTGACCATTCCTCAATAAACTATTTCACATTGAATGTTTCGTGATAGTGTAGTCAGAATCAATTTATTCTTACAAAGTTGTCTATTTTAATTTTTAGTTAAAGGTCCCCCAGTTATAGAGTATGCAAAACTTGAGCATGGGGAAACAGCCTACATTGGAACCACAGTCAACATAACTTGCAGCATCCAAGGCTTTGATCATATGAGTGGTACATTTTTGAAGAACAATGAAAGGGTATCTGAGAATGGTGAACCACTGAAGTATGATTATTTCTATTTAGGAAAAAAAGATACGCCTAACAACTTTGTTTTTTATCTGGAAATTAAGAATGTCACCATGGAAGATGCAGGAAACTACACTTGTCTTGCTTTAAAATCTGAACAGGAATCAAGGGAAACATTTCTTCTTGAAGTTGGTATGGTAAATTACTCTTTCTTGCATTCATTTAGTATTTTTTTGTACTGTACCATCTACTCTGTGTGGTGATGTATCACCTGCTAGTTTTTATGAACCCCCAATCTTATTCTGCTTCCCTCCAGAAATACATAATTGCAAAATAGTACTCTCTACTTAATGTTTTGCTATTAATATTAATTATATCTTCTCATCAGCTGTTTTCGTGAGTGTGTTGGTATTCATTTTTGTCATGCTTGAAGTTAATGGTCTTATAAGATAAGATTAACTCATTCATACTTGTGATGACTATGTGGAGAACCAATTTAAATTTGTAAATCTTGTGAGTTGATTTATTATCTGTGTCTTCCAGCTGCATTACAAAATGTTATGATATTTATGATTCATGCATGGACATAGGATCAAATTTTCTTCTGTCATTTGAAGTTCACACTTTTGGTTCCGCAAATCATTTCAGGTTGTGTGCTAATATCATTTTCCTGGAGAACTGATGTTTCTTTCAACTTTCCTCTTATTTACGTGTATATTTACATGAATGTATGTACTGTATGCATAATTTACAAATGATAAAGCCGTGGGAAATTCTCCTGAGGCTTGAAATTGTTAAACAAATATGCAAGCTCAAGATTTCTATTGCAGCAGTTATTTTGGTCACCATGCATGGTGGGTAGAGAAAAAAATTTTGGTTTCCAAGTTTGTAGTGAGTCAGGTGCCAATTTGGGAACCTGTGTTTGAATGATATGAAGGAGGTTGTGATGTTTTGATTACTTCCAGTTAATGCTCCTGGGTCTAATGAGAAAAACATTCTCATTGTTGTCTTAAATGAATTTATTTCCTTCTCCTTGAATTCTCAGGTACACTTTTCTTTCTGTGAATTAATATTTTATTTCCAGGGACTAATCAATTTTTTTTTTCTGGCCATCAAATTGTGTGGTTATATAAGGTTTAGCTCAGAGCCATGCAGATATATCTTTTCAGCTTGTGTTTTATTTTCCCCAATGGAGCTCAAGGAAATTCCCTCCTTTATCTTTTGTAAATTGTGTACATTGGGAAAACAGAACATACAAGCTATAGGCAACTGTTGTTTTGAATTATATTGCAGGACCATGTTCAGCAGGTTTTTATTGCCCTCCAGGAAGACATGGTCGCATTCCATGTCCTCAAGGAACATACCAGCCAAACATTGGCGAAACATCTGAACAAGCCTGTAAACCATGTCCTTTCTTTACTAATTCATCAAAGAATCCAAGTGGTATACGACCAAATGTAAATGAAACTGAGTGTCCAGAAGAAGATCCAAGTAGTACAAGAAAAGGTACTGCATGGATCCCTAAATCAAAGTTAGAGAGGTCTGCTTGTGCTTGGGTCTTTTTGTTTTGCCTTTGAATGGTATCTTGAGATCTGAATTTCATATATGTACCGTAATTTCCGGTCGTTTACCCGCGGGTAATCTGTTGATTTTGCATTAAACGCGCGCCACTGCGGGTAATAGGGAGGTGCGGGTTATGTGACAATTTTAAAATCTAGTGGTAGTTGAATTGAAAAAAATTATCACCAACATACGTTTCCACCTCTCAAGTGAATTTTATTGTATTAATAGTGCCGCAAAGCGGCACGAAAACATGATGCCGACTCGAGTTTATTTTACGCACGAACAAATTGCGACGAACAAATTGCTATCGGCACGCGTGAAAACAAAACCTTGATGGTGACAAAAATTATCCAAAGACATCCGGCGCATCAGTAACAAATTTCTATTTAACACTAGCTTGAGCTAAAGAGAATTTTCCCGTTTTAAGGGACTTGTTAGGCCCAATGGAACCGGAGATATCGATTTTTTCAGATATCGCCGACAGTACTTTATAATTCAAGTTTTAATACTCACCCAGCTTTTTTTTCAACAAATCAACATGGCGCTAAACGATCGCTCGCACAAAATGTGGCCACAAATTTGCATTCTGTCAAGTATGAAACGTTGAGATTTGGGCATGGGCCGCTAGTGTTTTTACTGTATAATCTTATCAATAACGTACATGCTAATATTGACACAGAATTGTGCACGTGTCTGAATTTCTTTGACCTTTAAACTCGACAAAGACGCTTTCAAGTTTTCGAAAGTTGGATCAGACAACTTTTAAAAGACTGAAATGTATCACCTTAATGTCACGTTTTCGCCACCAAAAAGTTGAATAACATAACGTGCGGGTTATCCACCAGTGCGGGTAATCTGTTGACTTTTTTTTTCGCCGTATGCAATAATCGGCCAGTGCGGGTAATCGGCCGTGCGGGTAAACGACCGGAAATTACGGTATATGTTTTTTTGACCTGTGTAGTTCAAATAACTTATTTTACTTTTAACCAGTGTTGACTTCAACATCACAAGTTGTCACCAAGATTGCCATAGGCGTGGTTTGTGTTGTGGTTTTTATCATAGCTGCAGCATTGCTATCATTTATTGCAAAGAAGAAACGTTGGCTGTGTTTCTCTTCTGCAAGACACAGCCGTAATTCAGAGTGTTTCATATGCCAGCCAATGTTAGGTGAGAATGGAGATATAGAGAATGCTGAGTGTGCTGAAGTTCTGAGACAGTCGCCAGAAAAAGGTATTCAGTAACTTTTATTTTGCAATGTTTATTACAACAATCTAATCTATACCCAGCCAATGACTTAGCAGAGATAATATTTAAATGAAAGCCCCCTTTCAGGAATTTTCATTCAATATACTAAAACAGCTACTGTATTCTTTGCCGCATGTCAGTCCAACCATGTGCAAGTTTGTCTTGTTTAAGTTTAAGATGTTTAATTGAATCATATTCATTTTATTTCACTACATTAACCCTTTTAACTCCCAGATCCAATTTCAAATTCTCCTTACGGTCAACCAGGCAATTCATATAATGTTAGTTCAGAGAATTTAGTATTGGATCAACTAATTATCCCCAAATTGATATTTTTCTCTATTCTCATCACTTATCTGTTTGATATTGTATTGATATTGTAAGGAGAAATTCTGTGTTGGTCACTCATGGGAGTTAAAGGATTAATGTTGCATCATTATACCTGTGTTGTTGCATTGTTAAGGTTTGTTTTCAATTTTTACATGTTTTTTCATTCTTTGTTTTTACTTTGCATATTCCCTTCTTCCTTTGTGAGCAGAACATAAGACTTCAAAATAAAAATGCTGTTGCTTAGCATGAGTTGTGCATTTATCAAAAGCCTGGTTGGAACATGACAACTGGTTTGATTTTGTTTCAGATTATGAACCAAGGCATGACGTGTTTATATGCTACTGTTACAAAGATGTTGGCTGGGTGAAAGAACTTCATGCTGAGCTTGAAAACCGAGGTTTCAAGTGCTGTATTGATTTTAAGAATTTTGCTATTGGAGCACCAATAATGGAAAATATCACTGAAGCAATTTGCTACAGTAAAAAAACAATTGCAGTACTTTCCCCAGATTTCATCAAGAGTGATTGGTGTACACATGAGCTACACAAGGCGCTTGCCAGGGTGCGATATCATCAGGTTGTACCAGTTATGTACAAGAACTGTGAAATACCATTTGCGCTTCAAGACACAACCTACCTGGAATGGGAAAACTGCAATGTGAAACCTTACTTCTGGGAACAGCTTGAAAAAGCTTTAAGGAAACCAAATGGCGAGGCTTACAACAGGAGACAGCTCCAAAATGGAAGTCAAAGCTCCATGGTCTCTGTCAGTCTCTAAATGGCAGAGTCAGGTACCAGTAGGTATCTTTTGGTACGTAACATACTTAAGAGTAGTAGCCTTTAACTTTCGAACTTTTTAAAAAAATCGCGGCCACTTAACTTTACCGATCTGGCTGAAATTTGGTATGATGGCTAATTTTAGAGTCATAACTACGAATTGGGTATTAAAAAGTTCCAGTTGTTTTTGCTTGGCAAAAAATCGATAAAGCCGACCGAGTCCGCCCATACTTGCCTGCCAATATGGCCTATCGAAGGTGTTCTTATGACTTCGACTTCAGTACTGTCGTAACGATTTCCTAAAATCTCTTGAAATATATGAAAAGATCTATCCTTTTTTCTTAACATTTACTGGAAAAAATGTGGGAGATAACAGATTTTGATCACAGGTTATCTCAATGTTCGAAGGTCGTTTTGCGCCGCCTTGAACAGTAAAAGATTCACCCCAACTTGTTAGCCTGATATCTCCAATGTTACCTCGATCCAGAAGTTGCCATTTATATGGAACAATCTTTGTTTATGGACGAATTGATTCCATTAATAAAAAAATTGGGGAAATGTCAAGGTCAAAGGAGAAAAGTTGTTAATCTATGATGAATTAGCTTTATTTGGGACCAGCTCCTAAAGCAGCTAACCGATCAGAAATAAAGTCCAAGTACTCATTTCGTCCAGAGTGAAAGCAAATTCCAGAAGTTTTCCTAATATTACGGAAGTAACTGTTGATTTTGGGCAAAAGCAAATATGTCTGGGCGACATTGTTGCAATGGGATAAATATTTGGTTACCTAATGAATGTAAACAATCGATCCGGTATTAACGCTCGGAAGGGTTGATTTCGCATACCGTTTTGAGAACGAAAATTTCGGAAAAGAAAAGATTCTTGCGAATTCCAACCTGGTTTGTTTGGTGGTGATTGGTGACTTGCTCAAAATCTGAGCCTGTAAGCAACATTTGCAGTTGATCCTCCTTGTCACGTCAACGGTCTAGCTATTCTTCGTTAGATATTACGTAAATTACATCATGCTTTTGAGTGGGTCTTAATTTAATTTTCGTATGTTTCAGTGTTCTTATCAGTATAAAGGAAACTCAACCTTTCGGGATACTTCCTTTCCTTCCTTTTTTTCACCGGCGGTGAGCGCAAAATGTACACATGAAGCGCCCTCATTAAAGGCACAGACATGAATTGAGTTTTGTTTGAAATAAACGTCACCTCGTTGGAATGCGCGGGCAATCGCTAATTGAGTTTGCTCTAAACTCTATTTTGCTTTGAGAGGCTGTTCGTGAAGGATATTTTTTTAAAACTTCTTTCGATGGCCTTAAACAAGCTGTACACCTAATCTATGTGAAAAACGAAACTATGAATTCGAATTGAATCCTTGTTCATCACTGAACTGTCGGTTGTAGCGAAAACGGAAGAAACCATATTTTACGTATCTTTTGATGGCAATAAGACGGGTACAGAAGCCGAAAAGGGACAATCCAAAAATATTTTGTAAATCCAAAAAAATATTCAGAATCGATATCATTTAGAAAAATCGCTTTTAAAAAGTTTGTCAAATCGACAAAACAAATTCCAATCCGTGACTTTCCACTCATTTACCGAGCTTTAAAACTCTAGACCTTGCAGACCTTTACTTCTTTAGCCCTCTAGAAAGACTTACATTTCCGGTTCAAATTCCCCACCCCAGCCACGTAAGGTTCAAATTTCCCATTCCCCAGTCACGGACGACAGTAAAATACCCGTCAGTTGCCCGAGTTTTCCCTTTTCAAAGAAAAAAATGAACTTGGGCATTTGAACATAATTTTGGCTTCGTGGGTTGGAATTTGAAGAACTAATTTTCAAGAGTTCAATTTCCACTGGAGGGAAGTTGAAGTTTCGAATTGATCGATGCATAAGCATGAAATTTGTCTCAGTCCCTACTCTAGCCCACAGTGACTGATTTCGCTTCTCAAAAGACGCATCAACGACGTCTAAGCCCCATAAATGAGGCTTTATGTCTCGAGTACAAACCGCACTTGACCAACATCATTTTAAAGCATTCTCTTTATGCAAAGAACTAGAAAATAAACTGAGGTAAAAGGGAAGTTAATCACTGACATAATAAATTTGGCTTTCTGTTAAAAACGAGAACTTTTCCAATATTTTACCTCGACGAAACCAACATCTTAAGTGTTCGCTACAAAATCAAAATAAATTTCAACTTTTGTACTTGTTGTGGGCAAAATTATCAGAGAAGTATGAAGGAGAGTAAAATGATAAAAAAAAAACTACTAACCTTATCTAAACAGGATCCTCAAATAAAGTAATAAATTTCCACTTTTGTTAGACTCAAGAATAAACTTGATTGCTTGTGCATTTTCACGAGTCCAAGTTGATTGTCTATCTCAAGCCACATTCCGTTTCGCGTGTGTGGTTACTGCTAGAGTGTATTACGTTGGTATTTAAGGCTTACTTTTGATATAAATGAAAATTACTCTAACGGACTTGCCAAAGGTTGGGTTTTTCTTGTGCTGCAAACTTGAGGAAATTATAAACTGACTCCTGTTGGAAAACATGTTGAATTTGCGTATTATCCACTAAACCGGTTGCGTGACCTGTAAGTACTGTATCATTAATCTTGAGTTTGCAGCGATTTAATTTAAAAAATGACCAACTGCTATCACCAATAGTATATAAGAATTGATAAGAATGTTCCTTTCATAAAATCCTTTGTTCTCAAAACGGTAAGCGAATTAAACACTGAGCGTAATTGCGCGTGGCTTGTTTAAATTCAATTAGTTACCTAAAATCAAACCATTGCAACAATTTTGCTTGAATATCATCGCATTTATGCTAAATCAAAAGATATTTCCATACTATTAGGACACTTTCCGGGCGATAAATGTACTTTAACCGTTTTCTTCTGATCGTAAATTGATTTAAGAGCTTTATAGGACCAGGTCCCGAACATAGCCAGGTCAATACGGGTTGATAATTTTTTTTCCTTGACCATTTCATTTCCCCCATTTTTTTGTTTATGAAATCTGTTCATCTGTGAATAAACGTTGCTCACAGTAAATGGTAACTCCTGGATCGAGGTAATACTGGAGATATTCGGTTTCTAAGTTGGGGTAAATTTTTCATTGCTCAACCGAGGTAACACTGGAGATATTCGGTGTCTAAGTTGGGATAAATTTTTCACTACTCAATGCGGCCTAAAGCGACCTTAGAATGTTGGGATCATACATTGTTAAAACCAAATATTTGCCATAGTTTTTTTAACTAAATGTTAAGGGAAAGGGAGTATCGTTTCACGGATATCACGAGATTTTGAGAATCCGTCCATGAAAAGAACATCTATGATACACATATATCAAGGTGTTTCCTTGGGAAACACCTCTGTTTTCCCCTTCAGTCTCAATGTTTCCTAAGTTGAAGGTGAGAGAAACATGAAGACTCGAGATTAAACAAAAGGGAGCTGTTTCCCAGAGATCAGACATTACATGCTTTGTTATACACCCAGAGGACAAAATCCATTGAGTTCTCAGTAACTAGCAGAGGGCTAACAGCAAATTTTATGGAAGGAGCCTGTGGCCTCAATCAGACCACAGGCTTTAGCCATGTTCTGATCATGAACAAAAGCTGGACGTTGATGGCACTGAGTAACTGTAACCCTCTTGGGATCACATGATTACAAATCAGCCAATCACAAGTGTGATTAGCACAAGGGAACCATGGTTTATAAAAAGTGAATTTAAGTAAGGGGTATCTAGATTTCAAAGAATAACCAAATCTTTTTAATTCTGGCATTTTTGTTGTGTGACAGGGTCTTTCTCTTTCTGGCTACTCTTCTTTTCAAACATTTAGCAGCTACACATTCAAGAAGCGCTCAAGACTCAACTGTATGTTTTTTTTTTTTCAGGACCAGGTGACTAATTTTTCTCTAAAAGATGTTTAACACCATGGTCAAGTCATTGTTTGGAATCACAGAAAGGGATACACATTTTTTAACAGAGGAGATAAATTTATTTGGTTTTTTTGATGCTCACTTTTCATTTAAGTTACAGTTGGGTGGTAATTGAGGAGATACTGTAGGTTTCTTAGTTTTGGACTTGGACATGCCCAGTAATGAAAACATTATTCCATTGCATTGGAACTAACAGATCATAGTTCATTTGTTTATTTATTTTGTGATGGAACTCCAAATGCACAGTAGTATTGTTTTTATCTTTAATCTAGGCTCGCTGTTCACATCAGTCCCCCTACTTGACAACTGTGACCTAAGTCTTGGCTTTCGATCAACAGCTCCCATTACAGTGGTCACATAAAACAGTAAAATGAATTGTATCTCAAGACCAATTGGATGTGGGCTGAATTAGATTATTTATTTTCAATTTCTATGCATGATAGTTTATTTAAGTTTGTCCTCACCAACCATCAAGCAATATAAATCACTAGCCAACAATCTACATTTTCACAGAAAAAGTTCACATTTAGAGTTAATAAAATTTTTATAGATAGCTTTTATAAATAGATTTCAAGGAGAAAGTTAAGTTTATCGTGCTTGTTTCCGAAGGCCAAAACAAATTCTACAGTATTCCAAACAGTTCTCATTTTTTTGTTGACAATATTAAAAAGCAAAAACTTAACAGATGTCCTTTCAACCTGACAAGAAAAATGAAATTTGACAACATTTTTGTACATTATTCATTAAATTCTTAATTTTTATTAAGCCAGTTTTCACTTTACCCTCATCAATTGTCAAACAATGGAAATCAGGTGATAATCAAATTGTTTAACAGTACTTTTAAAATTAACTTTTCTAGAATTTGTAAAACTTGTATAGCAAATGTTAAATTAGAAAAATGAGACATTATAAGAAGAAAGTTAAATTTACTGAGCTTGTAAAGTTACAGTAATCTTTTGTGTATTTAACAAATTAAACATTAAAGTTAATGTAAAACCACTTTCTTTGTTGTAAATCTCAGTGGGGTTCATTTGCACCCATCTGGGATGGGCAGGGAGGGGGACAGGGAGAAGTTGAGCAGGCACTCCCATTTTGAATTGAGTATTTCCTCCAATAAGTGCCCTCAATCTACATGATTAAACACCCTCCCACAAATGAGCACCCAACTCCTGGGCCCTTACACATGAGTCCCCCCCCCTCCTCCTTCACTTTCTTAACCCTTTAACTCCCATGAGTGACCAAGACAGAATTTCTCCTTACTATATCTATACAACATCATTTAGACAAGTTGTGAGAATAAAGAATATCAATCATAGCTAGAATTACTAATTGATCCGATACCAAATTCTCCAAACCAACACAATGAGAATCATTTGGCAGACAGTAAGGGGAATTACTAATGAGATCTTGGGAGTTCAAGGGTTAAATAATCAGAATACAAAATCCCATTTCTATTGCCAGTTGGGCTTTATTTTTAACTTTTTAAGCTTCAACTAGAGGATTCAGTACAGAAGAATAGTTTCTTATCTGTAAAATGACTTCCATCTACTGTTCTACCTCCACATTGACTTCACATCAAAGAGGATAATGTTAACAAAAGTTGTCTTTCTCTTAAAGATTTAGCTAAAACAAAGTTTAAGCTCTTTGAAATGAAACCTCTAGTGCCCCCCCTTGACTGAGCACCCTCATCCAATAATTCTGCGTGAAAAAATGAGTGCATCCTCATGCAACATGATTGCAAATGCATGAAACACACACCCTTTCAAAACATTTTGTCTGTCTTGCCTCAAGGTTTTTTCGTGTACATTATCAACAGGTAATAACATGATTTCTTGCATAATTTGGTGTAACAAGCACTAAAGTAAATTTTTCAGACTACAAATTGCGCTTGCCTACAGGCCCATGCAATTTTGTTGTCTTTGAAAAATTTGCCTGTGCTTATTCATACCAAATTGCATTCAAAATCGTGTTATTACCTATACTAATCAGATAAATTTCCCTAGTTAATATTTTCTGCATTCTCACTTGACTACACACGATAACCCTTCACACCCAAACATCAGTACCCACATTCTCCATACTCATCTCTATACATTTCCTCTAGAACTGAAAAGGAGAATTTGTTAAGCAATCAAAGCTCCCTTGGTTGGTGATCATTTCCTTTATTCTCCTGATCTTAATGATAGATTCAGCTGTATTACTGTGAGGAGAATTTACATGCTGGGTCACTCAGCGTTTAAAGCTAGGGTTTTACAAAAAAAAGGAACCTGGACCTTGGAGGTTGTTTGGATACCTTATCAGCTTAAAAAGAATTGTTTTCGCTGAGGCATGAAATAAAATTTTCAGTGTTTTTTCCTAAGTTCATTCGGATTAATCATGCGCACTTCTTTCTTACAGAAACTAATGAGAGTTTTTAGCTGAGAGAAGTAATATATGGTCAACAAGATAATGGGAATGAAAGGCTTTTAACACAATTTAATGACTTGATATTATGTGATGTATGAAAATATACAGCTAGTCTGCATGTTTGACTGAGCCTTCATTTCTTGGTCAGTGGCATCACCTACTTAATCACATTTTTGCACCTTC